ATTCAGCTGGCGGTAAAGCTCAGACCGTGACCACCGGGCGACGAACGTTACCAATAACCCGATCACGGTAAGATTTATTACAAAAGAACAACTTATGATCGCGACACCGTGGTCGAATGTGCTCCGCGCTAGTTTAAAGTTGGTCAACGATAGGTTCGACTCAATAACCCAATAAATTGGCCCAGTTGGTTTCGCCTTATCGATCTGTGCGCGCCTAGGTAAGCGGGCACAGCAACAATAAATTAAACTAATGAAAATAAATATATTTAAAAATGGAATAAGTTAACATCAAAAAATTAATATGAGTAAACTGAGCCAACAACTACATTAATTAAACTGTAAAAAAGACCAAGGAGTTTATATGTATTGTGCATATCTCTTTTATTAGTTTAGTTCATAACAAATTACATTATGGTATAGACATTTAATAATGCATTTTCCTTGTATCTTATCAGCAAATCCAAGTATATGCTCTAACAGATAATAATAAACGAAACATTATTAGGTGAATATATATAATATATAGTATATATATATATAGATATAGTAGTATATAAAGATGTATCAGGGCTCAGTAATATCAAACGAACTCAGTGCTTCCATCATTTTCATATGATAGAGAGCCTGCCTGATCAGAGATAGTATGTGCCTGTACATGAACTTAAAATAAACACACAGTAGAATGTTCTTATTGGCACAATCAATGTCCTAAGATGGCGATAGTTTGTAGGGGGAGCTCATGCAGTCGCATGGATCTTTAAGTTATGTCTAACGGTAGCCTTCTTTTCTCTCCTCATCGTCCATATGCATGACATTAACACAGCTAAAATCTAAGCTATGTAGCTGCACAAAGTCACGTGAAATGTACTGATAAACATAGACATGAGAGATATAGATATCCATATGCTATATTTAATAGAGTTATCAATGTCCATGAAGATGATTTCTACTACCCTTTCATTCATCCGCGACCTTGATGATTATATATTCACGCCGACGTGTTTGACATTCCACAATAAAGAATAAGATGAATCAGTAACTGCAATATCGATCGTCGGCGCACGTAATGTTCTTCTATACCTGCTCTACGCTTTGCTTCGCTGGCAGCGGAACGCTGTACTCCGACTCTCCGTGTGGGGCAGAGTAGTCTGGTAAGCATACCAACGACCTGTAGAACCATTGCATGCCGTCAGCTGCAACAAAACACATGAATCGTAGAGACGCTCTACTGTAGGATGACCTCTACTAAGTAGCACCACCCTCTCCGACATTCACGATGACTGTAGTAAGTAACTTCCAAGTGACCAGACGCCTTCCAAAATCTATTAGTTCTTACGAGAGTTTCAGGTGACTTAAAAGATTGTCTGTCACTAAGTGTAAAAAAATTAGACAAAATAAGTGTGAATGGTTTTCGCTTTTCTACTAGCGGTTGTGTAGTACAACGTGAATAATAGCAATAGGACTTAGGGACGACTCTTCCAGAGAAATTATTCGTTTTAACGGCAGCACCCAATCAAGCATCTAAAAAATCAGCGACTTTTTAAGCCTGTTAACAAAATTCAAGCGGTGCGCGAAGCAATTCCCTTCCATTATTCATTTACTGTCTCTCATACCTCTACAGTAATTTAGCTTCATCATCCATTCCGTACGTCCGCGGGGTAAACCCGGATCTATCCTGGGTGCCTTCAGAATCCTGATGGGAAGGAGAATGCCACCTAAGGGCGATACCGAGACACATAGTGGTTTTCCCACTGCAACGTGGCGCCTGAAATTATCGGCTGGAGCACATGCGCAAAAGCATCCGCATTGTCAATGTCATTTTAATGAGATCCGAGAAATACGCAACAAGAACTTAATTGAGTGAAATATAATTGATCAGTAAAACATTTAATTTCTATAAAGCAATATATAGTAAATTACATGTAAGCACTTTTTAAATCCATTATCAAGGTATCCTCTCTGCTCTCTACTCTCTCTCTCTCTCCCTCTCTTATTCTTCTCTCTCTCTCCTCTCTTCTCTCTCTCTCTCTCTCTTCCTCTCTCCTCTCTCTCTCTCTCTCTATATATATATAATATATATATATATATATATATATATAAATGTATTGTATAGCTTGTAATTTATTATATTAATATGAACATAACGAATACACTATTCCGATTATGTTTTAATCTGTAGTCATGTACTTAATATATATATATACTCAGAATATTTATATAGATATTATATATGGATACAATAGCTACCTCGGTCTGTCTGCACTCTTAAACAAGGCAGACACGCACGATAGTGGTCATTTAACACAGTTTCGGACCATTAATTCTGCGACTCTAACAAGGCAGACATCACCGAAAGTGGGTACTGTTTAACACAAATCAAGGCCAGAGCACAGAAATACACAACACGCTCTCAACGAATACAAAGGACTGATTTATATAGAAGTTTTACACACACAAAAAACAAATAGATGGCGCCACCGACTGGGCTAGAATCTTACAAATTAAAAACAGCAAATCTCAGACATTCTCCCACTATCTGGAGAGAAGCAACGACCCAATAATTACACAGAAAATAAAGCAATTATAGCACAAATCTAAATCATAATAAATGCAAATAAGAATCTACGATCAATTTGTAGATAAAGGTTCTCAAATAGCACTAATGAGAAATACACATACAAATAATTTGTAACCACAAATCAAGATATCACTAGTCTAGGCAATATTACCAATACAACTTTCAGCAGATTTATAATGGTAAGTTAAGACTTAGAGATCCAATCTTAGCAGGCTTTAACATTGCGACCCTTACGTTACCACAGAGGGACTGGGATAGGTGTAGGACGTTTATCAATAACCTTAGGACCGTTTCTGTTCAGTAGAACAGGTGGCAGTGGGTCGTCAGGAGCACAAGAAATCTCTAAATCGTGTAGACGCTGAATAGAACGCGAAACAACCCCTTTAGAGTTTTAACACTCACACCCCACAATTCCATCCTTTCCAGGAAAAACTTCCACAATAACACCAAGAGGCCATAAAAGGCGAGGAATATTATCCTCCCTAATAAGTACCACAGAACCAACCTTTAGATTACAACTTGCAGTAAAGTTCTTAACGGTTGGAGGAAGATTTCGTATATAGTCCTTACTCCACAGTTCCCAGAATCTAGCAAGTTGTTGAGTACGCAAAGATTCCCTAGCAGTTAAATCAGCGGACGACATATCAGGAACCTCAACTCCGATAACCTCGGGTTGGAACCCAGTTTGTCTACCAACCAGAAAGTGAGCAGGGGTAAGAGGATGACCACTTTCAAGTTCATCTCCCACAACGTAAGGGTCTAGAGTTGATACAAGATTCGATCTCCAAGAGTGTAGTCTCTAACTCGCATCTTGTTAAACAGCGAACACCTAGGGATCTCTTGAGCGATGCTTTTACAGATTTAACGAGACGCTCCCACCAGCCTCCACCTGGGGACATGGGGGCGATAAAACGCCATTTAGGAGCCAATGGACCGAAATACTGCCTTAGCCTATGAAAAGTACTAGTGAAAGTCTTCGCATTATCAGAGTAGAAGACGCTGGGTAGTCCACGACGGGATGAAAACCTACGAATAGCTAGAAGACAATCTGTGACAGTCAAAGAATCGGTAAGTTCTAAGTGTACTGCTCTAACAACAGCGCAGGTAAAAAGCAATATATAAAACTTCTTAGAAGGAAAATCCACGCAATAGAGTGGGCCGGCATAGTCCAATCCGGTCACTGTAAATGGAGGCGAAGACTTAACTCGTAATTCAGGGAGAGGAGCAGGCGACTGATTGCAAGACTTAGAACCATGACGACAACAAGAAACACACTCTCTACAGACAGTCTTAGCTAGACGTCGGACTCCAACTATCCAATAACTACCACGTAGAGTTGACACTAATGTTGATACCACCCGAGCAGTTTTAGCAATACATCGAAACGGACTAAATTTTAGAACATGACACTGAGGACGTATGACTAGATGACGGCTCTCATAGTCGAGGTTAGAAAACTGGAGACGCCCTTTAACCTCAGGAGTCCATCATCTACCAAGACAGCGAGTTTCCGATGGGCAACCCTTTGGGTATGGGTTTACTGTCTAAAAATAACAGTTCCTCAAGAAAGCAGCTGACTGAACACAAAACAACCGCTTCCTCTCAGCAAAAGCTAATTCGATACCGACAGAGAAAGCACCTAATCGACCTCACTGACATAGAAGAAGTATCTTGAAACCTTAAGTACCTCAGCGCAATGAACATGACATCTCTGTAAGTGAAAACTACTCAATCGAACTAAATATCAAAAACCTCCGAGCATGGGTCCACCAGAAAAGACAATTAACTGACTCAGCTTTCCTCGAACATTCAATAATGAAGGTTTGGTCGACATAGTCAGAGACAAGGAATAGACTCAATCATACAACCACCTAGGTCCTTTCAACCAGAGATCAGATAAAATCAGTTTGCCAGCAAATATCCCTCGTGTTAGGAGATCGGCAGGGTTCTCTTTCCCTGGCAATGAAACCAGTACTGAGGAGATGTAAGCTGATGTATCTCCGATAGCCTATAAGCGACGAATGTCTCCCATATAGGGATCACCTTGAATCCAAGCCAAAGTGACACGAGCGTACTGTCCAACACCGATATGTCACGCTATCAGATAGACGGAGACAAAGCTGTACAAACGAACACTAACCGGGCACACAGCAAAGCTGCAAGGAGCTCTAGCCGAAGCGAAAGAGACCGCTTTTTAAAGGGTGCGACCTTGCCTTTTTAGAACCCTAGGAGGTCTGAAAATTCTCTTGGACCGAGGACTCAATACACACAGGCTCCATATCCAGTTTCTGAATGCATCAACCAAATGCATGTACCTCTAAATTAGTCCAAAGAAGACCAGAGGAGACAGGAATTGTAACAACGGCGGTATCTCCCATTGTTGAGTAACCGTATACCTTGAGCCATTTCAAAGAACGGTCGCCTAGATCTTCAGGGAGCCGTCAACATCCCACTCAATCCTCGCCTCCACATTCCTAAAAAAGACTTTAGTCAAGAATAGTGAAAGGACACAAAAGGCTAAAGGGTCGAACAAGCGACAATCAGACTCAGTCACCGTTTCGTTGTGCAAATGATAGTACTGTCACGACCCTCAACTCCTCGTCAAAGTAAACAATCCTGCTGAGCAAACCATCCGCATACCTAAATATCTTGATCGAGCCAGAATCTTGATTACCCCCATAACTCATGTCAAATTATCCGTCATGAGATTTAACTATATAAACTCCACTGAGACAAGAGCATGCTAGCCTGAGACCAAAATTCTCCTTAGCTTCAGTAAATCTAGCATAAGCCTCGTTTCACAATCTGCACCCGACAACAATCATCAAATCGATAGAGTTGTCTTGAAGTTCTATAACAACACTAAAGAGGATACACTAGCTAAAGTGACTCTGTAAAAGTGGCGTCTAACCAAAAATAGGAGAAACTTCTGTTGCCAAATCGCCACTCCGAACAAACCTCATAACACGAAACTCTATCCTGACTCTTCAGAGAAAGCGTGCACATCTTAATCTTCTTCCTTTGATACACGTAATCTGGGCAGAAACACGCTATTTATGATTCGCCGTCAATGACCAACTGTCTCACCTCCTAAACGAATCAAATCTCGCACAAGTGAGTATAAGCGACGCCCGGTCTCCAAAACAATCATTTTAAGAAAACTCCGTGTAAGCTTGAGCCGAAGCATCAAAAACGGACGCCACCTTAGTCGAGGTACTACCCGCGAACACCGGACGGTGAGTAAATAGAACGTAGGGTAGGTGACTCGTGACGCTCACTGGCGAGCTACTCCTCTACATATCCCTACAGACCATACTCCACGAACCCTATCATAACTAATCTACAGAGCTGGACTTTCCAAACGACGGCTAAGACCTTTCTAAACCCCTCTATGCAAGCCTTCATTGTTCATACAGACTCATTCCTGCGACATCAATTCCAACGGAAGCGGCAACTGGTACTACCATCTACGAAGGACATGACCTCGCTAACAGACTGAAAGACAGATCAACTCAAGCCAGTATATTCTGGATGATCAGGACCAATCCCAATCTGATTTCAGAGACCGAAATTCTGTAAGACCGAGTCAGGAATACTGTCAATAACAAAGCTGAGGCCCACGACTAAGCAGATTGTCACTTAACAGGGCTGTTGTTCCACGTACCAGACATCGCACGCCACTCCAAACATAGACTCCTGTTGGCCACTAAGCCCCCCACTCCTATAAAACTACTATAGATGACAACGAAATTCACGTAGGCATCTAACCCACAAGTATCCACATTTACCTGACGGTCTTCACTAAATATCATCTCCCATACGTAAACCAAGCAAAATTCGTACCTTCACCGGTTGATAACGGCCGTCAACGACTATCATATAGTGTATTTCCACCGCACATAGCCAAACGATAGCCCCCACGCTGCTATGACATTAACTCGAAAAACACTGGTGCTGTTCCCAGGTGACATTTCACCACTCAAGGCAGGTAACGAATAGGTTTCATGACCGACACCCATTAGGTTCAATCTCCTAACATAAGTTCAGATACATATGACCTATCTGACCCGCGTGTCAAATAACAGTGTTAGCTTCTTACTACCACACCCCTTTCTTACACGCCCACTTGAACTTTATGGTGAACCGCCCAATACTGATTAATCCCCGTCCCACAACACCAGTCATTGCAAGACTGAGACAAACCACAGGCTGTTCCAGTAGGCACAGTATCAATAAATCTATTACAGTTATAACAATTCGTTCTTTCTGACAGATTCGAACCCAAGTACCACCAGAGCATACACAATTACATTATGTCGGCCATTACACAACACATTTGGCCATACAACCTCAGACCTATATGGCCCTGCCAAGACTCTAAAACAAAGTCCAGCCTTCTAACTTCTCACTCGTCGGTTCTCCTTTAGGGAAATTTTACCAACCTTCCCAGCCATTTCTGAGTCGGTGGGCTTATCCCACACAGAAAGCCAACCTTATTAACTCAGAACAGCTTGCAAGGCAACGCAACGACACACCCTCCGTTTCTCAAGTCTCACATCACGGTAAGTTCTCCTTTACCGCATAGGGTGACTTCTCTAAACTCTCTGAGCCTCACTCTCTCAATCTCCTTGTGTAAAAATACTGCAACGCCCATCTAGGTCACTCCTCACTTGACCCATCCCATCTCGTGACCACTCCTAACGGCGATCTCGTTTAGTCGGCGACAGTATCAACCGCGTTAAGAAACCACCTCCATATTATCCTCCAGAGACTTCCATCAGCCTCTCCGACCCTTATCTTATATGATATAAGCGAGTTCACTCCTTGCATTTTCCACAGCAGCTTATATACTTTGCTCCTCTGCACATTTTGCTGCTAGCACCCGCCACATTTAAGTAAAGCCTGTAAATGAGCAAAGATAATTCGATCCCGGGCGTCCGAACGCGCTCCTCCAACATTTACAGGCTAACGTCATAACTGTGGAAGGCAGTCAAGGCAAGCCCCGAATAACCACTTAGCTTCACCCTCTACGACCGCACGACCATAGTGAAGCTCTACTATAGCAGCAACATCCGACTTACGCACCAGACACCTAAAGCGACTCCCAGAAGGACTGCCTACTCCCGCACCTCTCCTCGGACATTTTGGCAACTCCGAAACTTGGCAAGCTCTACAGCAGAAACTGGTACACTGCTACAGCTAATCCTCCTGCTCAGGGGTACACGGCTTTCAAGGCAGGCAAGACTTTTCAGCCTCCACTCGGTTGAACAAACATCTTCACAAATTTAATCATGTCCACAATTCACTGGTCTGAATCTTTCACGGTCCTATTTCAAGTTTCGAACAGCCTCTGCAGGCGCTATTATCAACAGCTGCACAACGTCGGTCAAATTCGTCAATTACGTTCTAAGTCTAGACGAGTCAGTTCTTTCTTCTCAGGACAGCCTTCAGACGCTTTTCAGCAGCGAGTCAGCAGCCACGTGCGCAGCTCTGGCCTTTACCAACCTGAACTACGTCATGCTCATTTTACCACTATCAAACAGGCAGGACGTTATAATTTTTACTACAGAACCCGGGTCGGCACCACTAATATGTCCTGCACTCTAAACAAGCAACAACCACCGATTAGTGGTTCATTAACACAGTTCCGGCACCATTAATGTCTGCGACTCTAAACAAGCAAGACATCACCATAGTCGTACTTTTACACAACAATCCCGGCCAGAGCACAGAAATACCAACACGCTCTCAACATACAAATGCGACTATTTATTATAATTTTACAACACACAAAAACAGATAGATGGCCGCCACCACTGGTGCTAGATTTACAAATTAATAAACAGCCACATCTCAACACTCTGACTGTCAAACAGAAGCATGACTTCGATGTCCGGAGTCCAGCAGCCTCCATCGTCTATGACTCATCAAGGCTGTCTCCGTGCAACGAGATGGGCAGCGGAGAAATCCACACCGCTCCCGCTTCCGATTTGACCAGCAAGCTTGACCTCCGTGGCGAAAGAAGCAGCCAAGACCATGAAGCGGACATGCCTCGTGAGTTACGCCTTATTTATGAGGAAATCTGCTTTCTCAGCGCATGCTCTTGTTATGATACTAAACGAGTGTAAAAAATCTTTTTTTTCACCAGAGCCATTTTTTCTGGACTTGTCAAAAATTTACCAGACGCCATTTATTTAGTTTCAAATTCGTGCAAAACTACGTAATATAATGTACTCTTATTTATTTGGTGGATGGTGACATCTAATATAATTTCTGTAGTTCAATATTCCATGAGGTGTTGTCCAATTTTTTTTGTAATAATGTACCTATAATTATATGTATCATTACTACATAGCACTTATTTCCCGACACGAATGCTTGGATAAGGAGCTGGCGCGTTACAGCTAAGAAATGACGATAATGTAGGGTTTGGTTAGGATAGGTCATGTTATTGTTAGGTTTAATTAGAGATTAGTGTTATGTGATTATGGTTAGACACTGATTAGGGGACCAATTTTGATTACGGTTTAAAATCAGGATTAGCGTACCGTTAGGCTTGAGGTTAGTATTAGAGTTATGGTATCAAAATATTACATAACCATAACCCCCATTATCTACCTGCGCACAAAAGGAAAACATTAATTGCAATCGATGTTCCAATAGGTCAATGTGAGTCTCGTATATGTGAGGTATCCATACCTGAAGATACGCTGTGCAAACACGACACAGGAGTGTTAAACCGACGCTAGTGCCTCTAATTCGTCGTTTCCTCCAGCAGCTTGATGCTACCGCCGGCTGCAGGTCGTTCACGCCCCGCTGTGGCACGTCGAGCTAACATGTAATCCGAATACTCGCGAAGCATGAGAAAGATATAGTCCCGCCAAAATAAGCACCACAGTTCGCAGTGGGGGGGGGGTGGGGGCGTTTAACGCGTAGCATTATACAAACGGCAGAACGATCCGCGTACGGACAATCACGTTAACAAATAACGATATATCTCAAAGCATGCTGTCACTTCATTTCAGCCCTAACCAATAATGGCAACCTATTCAAGGAATAATATCAAGGGTGCAATAAAGGGTGACAATATATAGGACCATTAGGAATATTAATCAACGTTCATCCTTACTCTAAGTTCATCTACATTGACAACCATAGATGTTTATCGTTACGGTAAGTGATTACAGCACACAACAAATGCTCGATACCCACGCGCGATCTATTTCCACGCGCTGAGCGACACCTGCCGCTCCACTGCAGTCGAGCGTGACCTTGTAGTGTCCTGTCGACTGATTGCGCCTGCACGTGACCCTGCATCGCGGGTGTCGCGGCTCGTCGCAGAATGCTGCGCGTGCGGCTGCCTCTCCACCTAGGTAACCTCACACATCGACACGCTCACCGGCAACACGAAACACACCGATCGTAAATCCGAGTAAGTTCGTCCGGTTTCCGCATAATATCAAGAGTTGATACCTATAAGGAGTATAAATAATAGTCCATATATACATTCCTGATAACTATTCACAGCACATTTACAACATGATTAAATTATATTAATAATGCAATAGTAGCAGGTAACTGGCAGCCCGACAGTGTAGATATGGTTGCCAACCACCCATTCGGTCACCCCAGTGCTTTTCCATCTAAGCGGTGCAATGACGGTACAATGTGTTCGATGAAGCTTGCATCGGTTTGTGGTGAAGCTGATCGTATGTGAATCGTTGTGAAGGAGTCCACACTAGATCGCTGCCTTCTCTTCAACAGATTTCAAAGCTGTGAGCTTGTGAACTCTCTCTACGCGCATTAAAACAATAAAATATATGTATTTAAATCAAAGGATAACAGTACTAAACCTCCTTACAATATTTTCAAAGAGATGCAACAGCAACGCAGTTAACACAACTCAACAAACGACTAACTATGAAGGTCACAACACCACCACGAGTAAAACTCATTTTAACAAACTATACATTCGCAAACATACAGAGTCATCACTCCCAAGTTCTTATCCTGCATAATGCTGATATACCGTCCTCACAAGGTACGTCGACAGTTGCCATACGGTCAAACATCCGTCCGATTACGAACGGAATCCATGACTTCTGTGGTTCCGAATCGCAGCTTCCCAGTGACGATGGCCTGGGGATCCAGTAGGTGGCAGTCCTGTCCTACCACGTGTCACCATTGCTTCCCAGCTAACGCAGCAAATAAAAAATATGTAAAACTAAATTTCAACAACATACACAAACATACAACAATACAACAACACAACATACAAAACATCACGACACATATATACGAGACTACACGTGACAGATACTTTTTCGTATACATTACAATAAACGTATATATACATTCGTGTGATCACACACCAAATGTATATATCACGTATGTATATTCATCTATATTCACTGGCATCACATGATCCAAAAATTCATTCTACGCATGCGTACATGCAATCATTATTGCATACACAACATGTAGTGCAAGCATAGAATCCTGGCTGAAGAAGTATCAAATCAAACACAGAAGCAAAATATCGCTGTGTATTAGTCTTAGATGATCTGATGACGCTCATGCATCACTGATGCAACAACCGAGTGACACCCCCCGTGACGCGGGAACCCCTACCTCGGTGCAGTCAGTGGACCTCCCGCCCTCGTGACGCCGACCCCTTACTCGGGGCACGTCAGCGTGACCTCCCGGCCCTCGTGATGTGCGACCCCTACCTCGGGGCAGTCAGCGCTGACCCTCCCGCCCTCGTGAGCGCGCCTCCCCTACTCTCGGTCAGGGTCAGCGGAACCTCCTGCGCCTCTCGTGACGCGCCCTCCCCACTACTCGGGCATCAGTGACCTCCCGCGCCCTCGGACGCGCCTCCCCCTACTCGGCGCAAGCGTTTTCAGGCGTGACCTCCCGGACCCTCCTTGACGCGCCTCCCCTACCTCGTGAGCAGCTACCACCCGGTGCACGCTCCTCCTGCGACCGAGCCGTACCTCCCGGCCCTCGTGACGCGCACCCCCTACCTCGGGCAGGTCACGCGTGACGCTCCCGACACTCGTAATCGCCTCCCCCTACCTCGCTGCCCAGGTCGCGCGTGACCTTAGCTCAATGCACGCACTCCTCAGCCACAATCGTCGCTTGACACCAGCGCCACGTCGATGACAGCTTCCGCGGTCACCACCACGGGGCCCGCATATCGCCACGCAAAGTTGTCATCTAGCGTCGACGGCAACGTGTCTGAGGGTGCGTCGCGATTGCCCAGGTGGTATAGGACTGGCTACAACATCTAAAAAACAGGGACACCGTGTGACCTCATACTCCTGCTGAATCTTAGATTCTGATAGTGAAAGTGAATGATTCACAAAACACTTCGTGAGAGATAAACTGATTGTATGCTAATGTAGGCACCCAGTTGTACTCACTACTGCACTACTTCTACTATACTACGCCTACTGGCTACTTAGAACTCATAGTGCCGTATCATCGTAGTGGTACAGTGTCGCTGTCGCATCAAAACGATTGAGAATTAGTTACGCACCCGAAATATAAGAGAGGTAAAAGCTAATACTTCCTCTTCTATAAGTGATAAGAAGCTTCCTCTTATAATGCTCTGATTCTATTATTGGCCAAATTTTATTATTAAAACGCCATTCTTGCAGCAAAATGCATAGATATACTTCCTGTGAGCTCGATCTATTTGTAAAACTATCACATACACCTCATTTGATTACTAGGCAGCATCAAAAATATCTATATTATATATATCTTAAAATTGTTAATCACTTTATTGCACCGTGCACAATCATTTGTGAATAGGACAAGGCTAATACCCTGTTGTCGTACTACTGCCTAACTAGCATGTACATTATATAACCTTCCTTAATACCTTAATTACATATTAATATAATTAATATAATATTGTACGCTTTTCTCCTTCCCGCGGCGCCACGATGGCGCCACCGGCAACACCTAAAATGGCTAGACACAATCTACAGTATACACTCACCCGTTTCGTGCCGGCCGTGAACGTCGCCTCCCGCTAGCCACCCGAGCCTTTTGAAGCTACTGCGCTCCCAATACCTGTTCGCACGTGTTCGCGGTCGGTGCGGTCGTAAGAGTTAGTCAACCATGGCGAGACGCAGGGGACATATACACTCAACATACAACGGGGTAACCCCACCTTGCCTGCGGCCTTATACTTTACGTGAATAAACCAGGCACACCTCGGGTAAAGCACAGAGTTAAACAATAAGAAAAACTACGAACGCGCCGCATATGCCTACAGTAACCGCGGCCTCTCCTCTCCGTGCACGGCCGTCGCACGAGAGTTAATATTCTCATACCCGTACCTCTAGCCTAGGAATATTAAAACCGTTAATATTCGACACTAATAGATACTGTATTATTCACGACCCCCTCAACGACACAAGGACCAATACGACATCGCCTATCACGCAATTAACCAAAACGCGCCTGTCCTCTCTCACCCCATGAGCAAGCGCCCACGCCGAAACGCCCGTGACCCGTTACCACGTACCTCTACACCTCGTTAGCTCGCTGGTACTCGTAACGCCTAATTGTCACCATAACCGGCTCCACTACACACAAATCGCACCGGTCCCTCTACAGCATGCTACGCACGGAGTACGTGCTACTACCTCTCGAGTCCTTTCTCTACTCGCTTAGCAGGACAACTCAACAACTAGTCTCTCCTCAACCCAGTCCCGCGTATACAGACTATACCGTGTCTTCGACACAGTCACTGGCCTAAGCTGTTTTACCACGGCCACCGCACTCACGACCCGCTGGAGGGGGCTAACCCAACATGGCTGCGCCACTGCATGGGACTCGACTTATCATACATGTTAATAGATGCAGCCGGCAACAACAACACGAAAACGCACACTAATAAACAGCAGACATCACAATAATTATCAATTCCAAAACACGGATCACCCACACTCTGTGTCCAGCGCACCCTGCATAGGAAACCGTCTAGCGCGTCCGTGCACGCCAGCTCCTCCCCCTTCAAGTCGCCGTCAGGTCGATCCCAAAACATAACTAGCGCACCGCACCGACGCAAGAGAACAGCTGATCTATCTCGGTTGGCTTGTCGCTCCTCCCGTGCCTTCCTCGTCGAATCGCCGCCACTGCCTGCCTGAGCGTCGCTGGCACTGCGCGCGCTTACTCACCGGCCCTGGGGTGAGTTGAGGACCTACTGCACTCGTGCCGGGCCGATCCGGCACAGCGGCGCGATTCTCTCGGCGCCGACTCGGCCCCGCCACTGTGGTCGTCATCGCTGTCATGGGATTATAGCAGCTCCTCCAGGAAGGCACTCCACCCACCCATCGCCAGAGCTCACGCCTCCCGTTTCTCCATCGCCGAGGCAGATCCTCGCTCCGAACGCTGCTCTCTCACTCCGCGTCGCAGCTCCTCCCTCAGGCGCGTCTCCTTCATTCTCCCTGTAAATGACAACTCACACAACCTTTTCTTGTACATCAAACAGGCCTTCCTCCTACAGCTGAAATACTGCGGATGTTACAAACCACACCTCGCCATCATGTGATGCGGATCCGGATGTATCTAAGGATAACTCCGGAATCTTCATCAACTCCGACACTAAATGGGAAATTAACCCCAATTCGTTTCGACAAGTATATAATCTGAAATGCCCTGGGTGATAGCGCGTACCACGGCCCTAGAGACCCACGTGACGCAACTACCATAGGTATCCTCCAACAGGAACCCGAATCTAGGTGCCGACATTCCCAGGACAGCGAGGGGCATCGCTTGCCGACCGACACGATCCGTAGCAGTATGGAACCCGCGCCCCGTCCTACCTCGCAATATGCGGCAGGCCGCCGTGGCCCCCTATATTCGAGCGTTTAACCACAGGTCAGGAACTCCAGCGCCCCCTATCAAGTCGCGCCCGAACAAGTAACTGGTCGAGAGCACGTGCATCTCTGGCCCCCCACGGCAGCTCCGATGCCCAGCGTCGCGCAGGACCATAAAGCGGAAAACAGCCGCGTCTGAAACCAGTCCAGCTAGCTTACACCACTACCAAGCGCTCAAGCAGTGAGTAGTTATTATCAAGAAAACACACTGGAAGAGGAACTCACCGATATATTCAGCATCCATAATCCGACCCGCCAAGACCAAAAATGCCGCAACCCGGCGCGTAGCAACAGCATAAAGCCTCACGAATACTATGCACGCCATGAAACACTCGGTCTGACACTAACCAGAGAATAATCTACCGAGGACAGTCGTGACACAACGCCGACATCCAGGGTTTACTTTACCGCACAAGAATCACCAATTGGCAAGCGATAACATTATCCGGAACTACAGACTGGCAATGGAATAAGTACCACTCATGCAAGACGCAATAGACTGCTAAGAAAGCGAATAACTACATTCTATGGCTCTGCACCCCACGAATCAACAGTCACCCCTGCGTCTACACAACCAACCTACTACGGGGACGCATAACCGTAGTGCACCGAGGTTCACCATATGACTCTTACCCGGTGCTCGTCGACACGGTTAGGAGACACAAAACCACCCAAGACGGTCCCTCGCATGCCCGGCCACCAGTGGCTAACAGATTCATCCCCAAACCAATCTGAGGGCCACCACTTGCCCCACCTCTCCACTTAACTAAGTATTGCGGCTAGAACGAGAAAATCCTGAGCCAATTATACTCGTCCCGACCCCTGTCAAGCTCGCCTGGAATCGCGGCGACGCCGCGAATCATGTGCACCTGACCCGCCAGCTTCCCCGGACCACCAGACCCACCGCAACGCACCTCCTGCGTCCTACACCAAATCACTCGCACCTCCGAGACATCAGGTTATCTACGTACAACGCCTCACTACACCATCTGGGGAAGCTTAAACCCACCAACCGTTATCTCGTCGCTGCATTATCACGCTGCCCCAGCAAAGAGATCGTAGCGACGCCAATCAACCGCTGTAGGAGCCGCCAATCGAGTACCACCTTACCCAGAAGGGCCCCCTTAAACCATACCTATACATATACTGAGGAAAAACCCCCTAATCCATCAGAATGCTCGTATCATGAGGGGGGGGGGGTAAACTAGACGTACCTGCCTATTCCATCAGAAATCTGCGGTCATGAGGGGGGGGGGTAATACTAACTGTACCTCCGTCTCATCGACTCCACATCGGGACGGTGAAACGCGAACTCTGCGCTCAAACGCCTCCCCCAGAGCTTGTGTGTGCTAACCCTCACGTGGGTGCCGAAACCGCGCCATATCGTCTACTTGGCCTTTATGGCGAGCAAGACAAGGGTCCTCGGCCGACCCACCCAGAACACGCCAGGCGGGAGCAGGGCAAACAGCGACCCACCGACGTCACCATTTCAGCGCATGCTGCGCTCTCCGTCGTCGAGCGAGCAAAACAAAGTTTACGCGACTCACGACGCAAGGGGGAAAAAGCCTCTCTACCAACCTCCGCCCTTTACGTAGATAAGGACGATGGCAGAGTCAAACTACGCCACCAGTCCACCAAACCCGGTAATCTGACACCGACCCTGTAAAAATACAAGGTCAGGTGAAATACGCACGCCTAGAAGTCACCTTCCCCCACGACGCCACCATAAGCGGCATCTCACGCGTCCTCCGTCAGCGTCCGACTAACAAAACCACCTCTACAACACCTAACAGCAATCGCAAACAACGGCACCCAAATGCAACGCCACTTACAATGAGTAAAAACTGCATGCACCGCAGTGTAGGGTTTCTCTTTCGCGGCGGCCGCACCCACTGGCCCACCGTCAACACCTAAATGGCTACGCACAGCAATCTAGTATATCACTCACCCGTTGTTGTCCGCCGTGATCGTCCGCTCCCGCTAGCACCCGAGCGCTTTATGAAGCTACTGCGCTCCAGGCAAATAACCTGTCTCCCGTGTTCCGGCGTGCTCCGATAGAGTTAGTCAACCATCGAGACGAAGGCGACAATATACACTCAGACACTAACCTACGGGTAACGCCCAAACCTTTGCCTGCCGGCCTTAATACGTCTACGTTGAATAAAACAGTGCACACCTCCGCGTAAGCACAGAGTTAAACAAGTAGAATAAACTACAAACGCAGATCCGGGGCATAGGCACTACAGTAACCGCGGCCTCTCCTTCCTGTGGCAGCCGTGCACGGAGTTAATCACTTCTCATATCTCCCCCCCGTACTCTAGCTAGAATAAATTAAACAAACTCTGTTAAATTCGACACTAAAGTCTCGTATTTAATTCACCGCACCCCAGCAACGAAAAAGACAATACGAGCAGTGCCTACTCACCAATTAACCAATACCCTGTCCTCTCTCACGCCATGAGGCGTGAATCCTGAATCACCTGGCGAGAGCATGAGAGATTATAGTCGCGCAAAATGAAGGCACCACAGTCGCACGTTTACGTAGCATTATACAAACGGAGAACGATCCGCGTACGGGACAATCACGTTAAAATAACCGATATATCTCAAAGCATGCTGTCTTACCTCATTTCACCTAACCAGATAATGGCAACCTTATTCAAGGGAATAATATAAGGGTGCAATAAGGTGATATAAATATATATAGGGCGATAAGGGGATATTAATCAAGTTCATTCCTTATCTAAGTTCATCTACATTGACAACCATCAATTTTTATCGTTACGACAAGTGATTACGGCACACAACGAATTGCTCGATACCACGGCGCGACGTATTTCCCGCGTGCGCGCGACCGACCTGGCTCCACGCAGTCGAGCGTGACCTGTAGTGTCTGCTCGACGTGTGATTGGGCCTCGCACGTGACCCTGGAACGCGGGGTCGCTGGCATCGTCGCAGGAATGCTGCGGTGCGGCGTGCCTTCCACAGGGTAGATGAACCTCAAAACATCGACACGCTCACTGCGGCAACAGAAATCACCACGCGATCGGTAAATCCTGAAGTAAGTTCGTCGGTTTCCCCAATAATATCAGGAGTGTAATATCAATACTATAGAGCAATTTATAATAGTCTATATTATACATTTCTGATAATATTCACAGCACATGACAACATGATTAAATTATATTGAATAATGAAGTAGGAGCAGGTAGGACTGGGCAGGACAGTTGTAGATATGGTTTGCCACGCACCCATCCGTGTCATCCCATGGTTTTCCATCTAAGCGTGTGGCAATGACGGTACATGTGGATCGATGAAGCTTCATCGTTTGTGGTGTGAAGCTGATCGGTATGTGAAGCGTTGTGAAGGAGTCCACACGCAGATCGTGCCTTCTCTTCAACAGATTTCTAAACTGTGAAGCTTGTGAACTGCCCTCTACGCAATTAAAACAATAAAATAATGTTTTAAATTCAAAGGGTAAACATACTAAACCCCTTTACAATGATTTTGCAAAGAGATACACAGCGACGCAGCGAACAACTCAACAATGACGACTAACTTATGAAGGTCACGGACACCACCACGAGTAAAACTGCATTTTTTTACAAACTATACATTCAGCAACATACAGAGTCATCACTCCCACGTCTCTATCGCTATAATGCTGTTATACCGTCCGCACAGGTGACGTCGACAGTTGCCATGACGGCAACATCTGCCGGATTACGGAACGGAATCATGACGGTTTCCGTGGTTCCGATCGCAGCTTCCAGTTTGACGATTGGCTGGGGATCCGCAGGTGGCAGTCCTGTTCCTGCCACGGTGTACACCATGCTTCCCAGCTAACGCAGCAAATAAAAAATATGTAAACTAACATTTCAACAACATACAGAACATACAACATACAACATACAACATACAAAACAATCACGACACATTATACGAGACTACAGTGGACAGATACTTTTTCGTATACATGTACATACGTATATATATACATTTCTTGTATCACACACCAGATGTATATATCACGTATGTATATTTCATCTTATATTCACTGCATCACATGATACATGCATTCTACGCATTGGTACGTGCAATCATTATTGCATTTCGTAATACATGTAGAGTCGACACGCATAGAATCGTGACGTACCATTAACAAGTATTTCAAAATAACACAGAGCAAAAAATTAGTCGCCTGTGTTTTAGTCGTTAGATGATGCATGGTGACGCTCATGCATCAACTGAATGCAGACAACGAGTGAACACCCGGCCTCGTTGACGCGCGACCCCTACCTCGCGGGCAGCGTCAGGTGTGACCTCCCGGCCCTCCGTGACGCGCGACGCCCCTACCTCGGAGGCAGGTCAGCGTGGCTCCGGCCCTCGTGACCCACCCCCTACCTCGGGCCAAAGGTCAGCGTGACTCCCTCAGTTGCGCGCTCCCTACTCCTCGGGCAGAGTTCAGCGTGACGCCCTCACCTCCATGTCACGCGCCTCCCCCTACCTGGCGCAGGTCATGCGCTGCTCCCGGCCTGCGTGACGCGCCCTCCCCCTCCTTCGGGCAGGTTCAGCCGTGACCTCCACCTCGCCATGCGACGCCTCCCCTACCTCGGGGCAGTCAGCGTGACCTCCCGGCCCTCGTACGACGCGACTCCCCTACCTCGGGGCAGGTCAGCGTGACCTCCCGACCCTGGTGATGCCCGCTACCCCCTACCTCGCGGGCAGGTCAGCGTTGACCTTAGCCCTCATGCAACGCCTCGGCTCCAGCATCGTCGGCTTGAACACCAGCGCCACGTCGCGATGCGCGTTCCGCGGCACCACAGAGGAGGCCCGGAGTTTCGCACGAGACAGTTGTTGGCGACTGCTAGCGGCGACTAGGCAACGGTTGAGGGTGCGGTCGGTCGGATTGCGACCAGTGGCTATGGCACTGGGTACAGCCATCTAAAAAACAAGGGCTTACATCCGCTGTGACCTATCTTCTGCTGATATTGAATATCTGATAGTGATAATGTTGATGATTTCACAAAACATCTTAGAGATAAACTTGTGTAATTATCTATTTGTACTCACTACTGCACTACTTCTACTAGTACTACTGCGATACTGCGCTACTAGAAACTATAGTGCCAGTATACTCGGCTTAGTGGAATACAGTGTCGCTGTCGCATCAAAACGATTGAGACATTAGTCTACGCCACCTGGAATATCAGAGTTGGTAAAGTATATACTTACCTCTTACTATAGAAGGTATAAGAAGCTTCTTCTTTATAATTGCCTACTTGATTTAGTATTTAATTTGGCCATAATTTTTATTTAATTAAAAACGGCCGCACAGTTCTTGACAGCAAAATGCATAGATATACTTCTGTGAGCTCGTCTATAGATTGTAAAAATTCACTACACCTCATTTGTATACTAGCAAGCATCTAAAATATCTTATATTATATATATCTTAAAAAAATTGTTAATCCCTTTTATTTGGCACCGTGCACCATTCATTGTGATTAGGACAAGGCTATACCTGTATGTGTACAGTGCCCAACAGCATGTACATTATACTAACCTTCGCTTAATTACCTTCTAATTACGATTAAACTATAATTAATAAATAATAATTGTAGCGGTTTTTCGTCCCTTTCCGGCGGGGCGCCCGATGGCCCGCCACGGTCAACACGTAAAATGGCTAGCACACAATCTACGGTATATCACTCACCCTTGTTGCCGGCCAGTGAACGTCGCCTCCCGCTAGCACCCGAGCGCTTTTGAAAGCTACTGCGCCTCCCCGCAATCAACCTGTTCATGCGTGTTCCGGTCGGTGGTCGTAGAGTTCAGTCAACCAGCGAGACGAGGGGCGACATATACACTCAGCACTACAACGGGGTAACCCACCTTTGCCTGCCGGCCTTATACGTTTACGCTGACTAACCAGTGCACACTACGGGTAAGACCACACAGAGGTTAACAAGTAGAATAAACTACGAACGCGCAGCCGGGCATGGCCTACAGTAACCGGCGGCCTCTCCTCTCGTGCAGCGTGCACGAGAGCTTAATACTTCTCAATACCCGCTACTCTAGCCTAAGGAATACTAAACCAAACCTGGGATTTAATATATCGGACTGACTCAATAGCTACTGTATTATTCACGCACCCCCACAACGACCAAAGCGGCACAATACGACAGTGACACTACCTCCAATTAACCAACGCGCTGTCTCTCTCACACCGATGAGCGCAAGGCACACAGCCGAAACGCCCGCTGACGATTACAGTTACCTCCACCACTGAGAATAGTCTGGTACTCGTCACGCTAATATAGTCACCATTAACCGCCACCACACACAAAGCTACACCGGCCGACTCTACAGCATGCATCACGCGCACGGGAGTAGACGTGGCTACTTACCTGCCGAGGGTCTTCCTCACTCGGCTCTACAGGACGAACCTGCAACAGCTAAAGTCCTCCCTCAACCGATTCCCGCGCCTAGAAAACTCATACCGGTGTCGCTCTCGACACCGTCACTGGACCTAGCCTGTTTACACGGCCAGCGCCACTCACGGCCGGCTGGAGGGCGGTGCGCTAACCAACATGGCTGCGCCATGCGCAGAGGACTCGACTTATCTAACATCTTAATTGATGAGCCGGCAAACAACACGAAAACGCACACTAAATAAAACAGCAGACTTCAACAAATAATTATACAATTACAAACAGGATCACCCACACTCTGGTTACCGCAGGAAAAGGGGGCCCCCGCCAAACCCCTGCCTAGACCCGGTCTAGGGGTCCGGTGCCCACCGCTACACTCCTCCCCCCTTCAAGATCGACGCAGGTCGATCCAACAAACATACATAGCGGTGCACCCGGCAGCCCGACGCCAGCAGGAGACCAGCTGGATCTATCTCCGGCTGGCTTGTCGCTACCTCCGTGCCTTCCTCCGTCGAGTCGCCGCCACTGCCTGGCCATGAGCGTCGCTGCACGTGCGGCGGCGCTTCTCACCGGGGCACGGGGGTGGGTTTGTGAAGGACCTACTCGCACTCGTGCCGGCCGATCTCGGCACAACAGGTCGGGCGATTCTCTCGGGACGCCGACTCGGCCCGCCATGGGGTCGTCATCGCATCGTCCGGGGCGATATGGTATAGCAGCTCCCTCCACGAAGGGCATCATCCACCCACCATCGCAGAGCTCCATCGCTTCCGGTTTCTCCTCGCCGATGGCAGATCCTCCTTCCCGAACCTGCTTCTCAGCCTCCGTCGCAGCTGCCTCCCTCTCAGGCTGCGATCTCCTTTCATTCGGCCTGAAATGAGCAACTCACACACCTTTCTGTAATCAAAACAGCGGCCTTCCCCTACCAGTCTGAAACTACGTCGGAAGTTTACCAAACGCACACCCTCGACGCATCATGTGAGTGCGGTATCCGGAGTTAGTCAAGGCATAACTCGGAATCCGTCTCAAACTCCGAGCACTAATGGGGAATTTACCCCAAATTCGTTTCGACCAGGGTAATAATCTGAATGCCGTGGGTGAAGTCAGCGCCCCGCTGCGTACAGCCGGCTAGAGACCCACGTGACGCAGACTACCAATTGGCATGGCTCCCTAACAGGAACCCGAATCAGTGCGGTGCGACATTTCCACGCGACAGGAGGGCGGGACGATCGCTTTGGCGACGACCACGGATCGACGTAGGCAAGTACTGCGAACCCCGCGCCGTCCCTACCGCCAATATGGGCAGGCCCCGTTGGCCCCCTATATCAAGGCCGCTTAACCACAGGTCAGGAACTCCAGGCGCCCCTACAAGTCCGCCGAAACAAGCTAACTGCGCGAGGAGATGTATCCTGCGCCCCCCACGCGGAGCTCCGGGCATGCCCAGCGGCGCGCAGCGACACCATTAGCGGAAAACCACGGCGTACTGCAGAACTCAGCCCAGGCTTAGCTTACACCAACTTAACAAAAGCGCTCAAGCAAGGTGAGTAGTATTATTCCGAAAAACACCCTGGGAGAGAGTGGGAACTGCACCGGCATATATCGACACTCCATAGATCGACCCGCAGAACCAAAAATGCCGCAACCGAGGCGGTACAATACAGCATAAGCCTCCCGAATCATATGGCGAGGCTGAAACAACTCGGTCTGACACGATAACCCAGAGATAATCTACCGAGGACAGTCGTGACACACGCGACATCCAGGGCGTTACTTTACCGCAACCAGAAATCACCATGGCCACAGATAACATTATCAGGAACTACAGATCTGCATGCGAAATAGTTACCCACCATGAGAAAGAAATAGAACTGCTAGAAAGCGAATTAACTACCTTATATGGCTTGCACATGACCACGAATCAACAGTCACCCCTCGCGGTCTGACAACCACACCTACTACGGGCGGGACGCATAACGTAGTTGACACGGAGCGTTTCACTCAATACATCTACCCGGTGCTCAGTGACACTGGGGTTAGGGAACACAAAAACCACCCAAACGGCATCCCTCGCCACATGCCGGCCAACAGTGGCACCCTTAACAGGATCATCCCAGAAACCAATCTGAGGGCCAAACACTTGCCCCACCTTCTCATTAATTAAGTATTGCGGCTAGAACGAAGAAAATCCTGAGCATTATACTCGTGCCGACCCGCGTGTCAACCTTCGCCTAGGGAATCGCGACGCGCGAATCATGTAGCACCTTGACCCGCACGTTCCCCGGACCACCAGACACAACAACCCACCCTCTGCGTCTACACCATCACTCGCACCTCCGTAGACATTCAGCGTTATCTTTACGGTCACACCCTCACTTACACCATCTGGGGAAGTCTAAACCCACCACGTTATGCTCGTTCTGGCATCGATTATCAACCTTGCCCCAGCAAAGAGATCATAGCTGCACCCAATCAACCCGCTGTAGGAAGCGCCCAAATCGAGTACGACCTTACCCGAGAAGGCTCCCTTTACCCATAAACCTAATAGCCATAATTACTGAGGAAAAACCCCTAATCCATCAGAAATTCTCTCATGGCGGCGAGGGGTGGGGGGGGGATAAAACTAACCGTAGCCCTCCTTATATCCATTCAGAAATTCTTCTCATGGAGGGGGGGGGGTAAACTACATGTACCCTCCTCTCACGACCTCCACATCGGACGCGTGAACTGCGAATCTTGCGCAATAACTCCTCCTCCCAGAGCTCTGGTGTGGCTACCCCTCACCGGTAGCCCGAACCGCCCATAGCGTCTACCTTAGCTTATGCGAGCAGAAAATGGGTCTCGCGACCCACCCAGAAAACACGCCCAGCCCTGTGCGTGAGCAGGGCAAAACATGACGAGCCACGACCAGTCAACATTCAGCGCATGCTGCTGCTGCTCCGTCGTCGAGCGGAAGCAAACAAAGTTACCGGACTCACGACGAGCTGGTGGAAAACTCTACCAACTCCCGCCCTTTAACGTAGAGTAATGCGGACGATGGCAGAAGTCAAACCTAACGCCACCGTCAACAAAGCGTATCTGGACAACGACCCTGTAAAAAATCAAGGCGTTCGGTGACAATACCACGCCCTAGAATGTCACCTCCCACTGACGCGACCAGCCATTAGGCGCGCATCTCACGACGATCCTCCCGTCAAGCGTCGACTAACAAAAACCACCCTACGAGTACACACGCAATCGGCACAACAAACGGGCCACCCAACTGACA